TGTTCTAGACCAATACCGACATGCAATATTATGATCTAGATTTTTGAGGAAAGCTTCCTCATCAAATGCCATGCAGCTGTTATTGCACCATCTTTAATTATTATGACTTTTTTTTATGAAAGGGAAAGTAATGACTTTTGAAAAAACATTTTGATTTAAGCAAGAGTAATTTCAATAGAGCAATACATGTAGATACTAGATGGTAGGGTACTGATCTAGCATCTGGCAGTAGGTGGAAATGTATTAAAAAGCATGGAAGAGTTTCATAGTGAAAGAAAGGACAGAGAAGATTTTGTACTTTTCTTTTTAAACATGACCCTGAAATAGAGATCTTATGACATGCTTTGAGTCTCTTTTGGGGACAATATACACTCCAGGGGCAATATTGGACTTTCAGAGAAATATTTTGTAGGGATTATGGGGTAAAATTTTTGAGGAGTCCTCATAAAAAATACAGAATATCCAATAGCTGAATATTTTCTACATAGAGAGAACCTGGCTGTTGCCCAAGTAAAAGACTGGGTTTGGGAACAAAGCCCTTTGGATATTAGGAATGGATTGGAGAAAGAGGCTTGGGACTACAGATTCAGGCTAGAAGCAGTACTGCTTTTCCTCTGTGAATGCTATGAAGACAACAGAAGGCACATGGACACAGAAGCATGCTAATGGGTGAATAAGGCATTCTTCTGAGTATTTGGATCCTCGAATTTTGACATGAGGTCTATCACTGAAGCTGAAGTTCTCAGTGTAGAATGGAATTCATTCCATTATTTGTTTCTTAATTCATAAATTATTCAGTGTGTTAAGAGTTTGTAAACTGTCTTGGCCTGTGGAATCTGCAAGTATGTCACACCCAGACCTGGCCTGGCATAGCATTTACTTTGCATTTGGATGTGAACTAAGGTTCACTGAATGTGGTAGAGAAACACACATTGCAAATCAATACTGGACCATCTAGGAACCAGCTCCTTTCTTGCCAGTTGGAGGATCTAATATTGTAAGGACTCTGGGAGGAATCAGGGGAGAATAGGGAAAGTGTCCTTCAAAGTGTGAGCCCTGGTGTTGAAGGTAGTCATTGCTATAGATACAATCTACCTATACCATGAGTAACTATTGCAATAAATTGATAGTTTTCTGTCCTTGCAGATTATCTGTATTCAGACTTGTGAGAGCCTGCCTTTTGCATCACAATGGTCCATGCTATCTTCTGCTACCAACATGAGAAACATATTTCTCTGAACTACATGTACTGGATTATGATGGGATGTACACTATCTTTGGGGACCTGAGTTTCATTACTGCTTCCACTGCTTAGAACAGTATAGAGAACTTAAGTAAATCGCTTTATCAGTCTGTGAAATACGTCCAACATTTATCATCTTTCAGTGAGGGCTAAATGAGATTTTCTATATATACACATATATATTTACATATATATGTATACACACATATATATGTATATATATACATATACACACACACATATATATATATTTCTAATGTTGCTAGAAGGTGGCAGCATATATATGGCAGTTCATAGTACCTGGCCTATCTCAGTATTCACAAAATATTGCCATTTCCTTCTTTTCATTTGGACTAGCCACATCATTAGTGTGAGTAATGTTTGGAGTCTAGCGTAGTCAGTGGTGACTTGACACTTGCCTCTTAAAGACATCAGGTGAAACACATTTGGCACAATAGTCAAATAATTACTTGGGATGCACACATCCCATATTGGAGCACCTAACTTAAAATCCCAGCTCCACTACTGACCCACTTTCTCGCTGATGTGCACTCTGAGACGCGGCAGGTGATTGCTCGAGTGCCTGGGTCCCTGCCACCCTCATAAATGATCCAGATGAAATTCCTGCCTTCTGCATTTGGCCTGCCCAGCCCTGGTTATTGCAGACATTAGGGGAGTGAACGAGCAGAAATGATTTATAAAATTATAATTTAGTCTTCTGAAAAAATACAGACTCTCGAAAAACTTGATGCGTAGTTTTGAATTAATACTCAAGTTGTAGTTATTATTTTTGTTACATGAGGTTTTTGATATGGAAAATGTGTCAGTCTCCTCTCTGATTTCCATTGGAAATGCTTCTATTCTGACTTCCTGGTGAGGCACACCCTGGGGAGTAGGCAGTAGGTGATGGCTCAGATTTTGGGTTACTGCCACATGAAGTTACTGGCTCCAGGCCTCTGCATGGCCCAGCCCTGTTCACAAGCATTTGAGTGACCAGAACTCTCTCTTTACTTCCTTCTTCAATCCTCCCTCCCTTTCTGTATTTCAAATAAATAATTTGTAAAAAGGTATCATAGCCCCATTCTTGAGTTTATCTGAAGTCACTCATTGCTTTTCTCTCCTAGTGGTATTAGGAGAAAGATGTCTCCAACTAATTATATATCTTGGGTAACAAGTGTGAGACCCTTAGCTGCAAGTGACAGGATCCCAACTCAGCTTGAGGTAAACAAAAAACCATATTGGCTCAGATAGCTGCAGACTTTGGAGTTCCAGGCACAAATGAGTCCACAAAATTCAGATTGTAATGCCTGGATCCTTGTCTCCTGTTTCTATTTTTCACTTTGCAGTATGGATATTTACTTCTCAGTGTCCCAGATTTATATCATCCTATCTTAAAGGCTCCAGCAAAGGGGTAGCAGTGAGGATGGAGGGAAGTCACTTTTTCCCCAGTGACTACGTACACTTACAGTGACAGTAGACTTTAGCTCTGAGTTCTGTGTCCATCCTCAGAATAATTCTTGTGGGATAGGAAGAAGAGAAAGAGAAGTTGAAAACTAATTTGGCCCATCTGGAGAGCGGTGGCAGGGGTTGGCTGAAGTGATCTACAGCCCCCTGGAGTCCACAAACAATAGTGGAAGAGCGAAGGTGCTAATCAGACAAAGCCTTGGTGTGCAGAGTAATGTAGAACACAACGGAGCGGTGAGTGTCTCACGGGTAGGGTAAAGCATGCTATACCCTGGAGAGGTATAGTATAACAGTGTGAGTTATAACTGGGAAGCTAAGACTATGATGAGGAGCAGTGCTGCTGCACACATATCCCGGAGCTCAGGCACGCTTCAGCTGTTGCGCCTCCACCCAAACAGCTGCCAGTGACATCTAGGCTTGTGTTCTTCCACCTGCCAGGTACGAGGTGTCTCTCCATACATCTGGCTATTTCCTCATTAAACATATCCTTTCTTAAACTACCCCTTATACAAAGCAGTTCATACAACGTCAGGAAAGGATACAACACTGATCACACCACATTGCAACACTTGGCACTTCATGAGAGCATAATGGATGTATGGTAAGAATACAGTATTTACAGAGAAAGAACAAACAACAGGAATTCATTTTCACATTCAACAAACATTTATTAACACAGATGTGAATAAGGCGTGCCCCCTGTTCTCAGGCTGTCTGGCACAGAGAGGCGCACAATCACAAAGCTACAGTAGAATCACAGTATAATAAAGCAATATCACCGAGGTGTAGACAAAGTACTTTGGAGGCACAGTGAGAGGGATACATGGGGAGAGGAGGGAACAATTTTCCAACTAACACCTGCCTAGAGAATCCAGGGAATGCTCCAGGGAAACCACCTGTGAGTTGGGTCTTAAAGGAGAATTAGAAGCCACTAGGTGAATAGTCAAGAAAGGGACCTTGGAGACTGGTTTCAGAGACACAGGTAAGGCCGAGTCCTGAGGGGTCCAGGAACCAGGCGTGAGGGACTGGAATAGGGAAATGGAATAAGGAACAAAAGGACTGCCAATCACAAACCCACAGCTATACTGTGGAAGTTAAAGGTCTCATCTCTCCATAGTATGGGGAAAGAGAGAGACAAGGTCCTCAGACACAGATTCCTGTCACTTCCTCAATCAGGCCATGAGGCTCTAACACTGAACGACTGTGCTGTGATTTGTCTAAGCCAACAAAGTATCAAGAGCCCCTTTTCGGAAGCTAAAATTTTGTATGAATGATGCAATTCTAAGTGGGAAAGGATCTAATGTTTTCATCCTTCTCAAGTAGCTCTGCTTCCTTCAGGAACTCAGCTGGGGTGTAGAGTCTGAGACGGAAGGTGGGATAGCGTTCAGGCTCTGCATCCATCTCACAACTTAAGGTAATGCTTAAAGTGTCTTTTCCAAAATTTTGTTTAAATAGTAACATTAAACTCAAAAAATATATGCTCGCAATGCTTTTAGTACTCCCGTCTCCTCTATTTAGCTCTCTTATACCCGTCTGTGTTTTAATATGCTTAAATAAAAAAATAATAACCTCTAAACTGTTTAAGTTTTTCCTACTTGAACAATTTTCCTTCTTCCATTTGTCAGCTTTTACGCAAATATTTTTCTTTAAAATTTTCATTTTACCCTTAGTCAAGTAGTTTTCATGTAATTATCTCTAATTGAACTTGTCTAAGGTTCTTTTTGTATATTACAATTCTCTATTTTAACTTATATCAAAATTGTAAAGAAACTTTTAAATTGTTCTAAACTTTTTAAAAAGCACGGTTGTCGATTTAAATGAATTTTCACTCCATTTCCATATATTTTGAAACTTTTAGCTTCTGGTAAATTTAGTAATCTGATTTTCCATATATGTACTTAATTCTTTAACTATAAAATATATATTTTCTTCATTTTAGAATTAAAATGTAAGATCTGTCTTTTTCATGGAATGGTTTTCTTTTAACTTTACAGCATTTAATTTTTAACCTTGTTTCCTGTTTTATGCACTTTCCCTGTAAACTTTAGGGCTTTCTAAATCTCCTGTGTCTTAGACATTACTTTAATAATTCTGGAGCTCTCTTAAAAAATTATTTGAATATTTCCTTTAAAAATACCTAACTTAAAATTTCTTCACCATGTAAAAAAGGTTTCTTTTAAAATATTAAAAATTGCTTTCTTCTTAAATATTTTTCTTTTAAAGCTTTTAAAACTTCTTCTAAAATACTCTCTTTTTTTAAAACAATTTGGCTGGCCAACCACAGCTGGAATGCCAATTGTGACGCTTTTTGCTGATGTAGTACCTCCCTGACTTCCCGCAACATTTCTGCAAAAGCTAATGACATTTAGTAGTGTCAGAACACACCCATTCCCATTTTCATCTAACTGTGCTTCAAGTGACCATCTTCAACCTCTTTATACACTCCCCTTTCTTAAGACTCAACGGTCACTACTTAGTATTCATTTTTTTTTTTTTACCCTAAAATGATCAACAGTTAGCACTCTTTTTCCTCCATAAACCCATGGGTAACAATAAACTAGGTTCTTTACATCAAAGTCCTAGCTGTCATACAGATTATTATCATTGTCCATTCCAGGTAGGTTTACACGCCACTTCACAATCATTGACTAATCATTTCTTTTTTTTTTTTTTTTCTGTTAAGAGGTCTGGTAAGACTCCTCTTTCTCCAGACCCTGTTTGTGATAGAAGAGTAAATACCCTTCACTGTAGAGTAAGTCCTCAATGGTAGCCTTGGTGATGATGGCATCATCACAGCTGAACCATTGGTCCTTTTGTTGACGGATAAAGCTAGTATAGTGGCCACTTTCCAAAGTTCCATGGTGATTAATCACTGCAAACAAGGAATACTTATTCTCATTGGATACACACTCTGTTGGTGGCTGGCCCTCTTTTATTCTACTCTCTTTAGTAGAGGCCAGAAATGGAGTCATGTCCAGCTCCAAGGGAAAGGAGATAAAGGTATTAATCTTTCGCCTCTGTTTGCCTACATGCTCAAACCTCTTGAGATGAAAACAGGCCACTAAAGGTAATTTCTTCACTGTGAGCTGTTTGGTAGATTCCTGGTAGCTTTGGCAATTACTGCATTTGATTTTGGCACTGCTGCCCAGATCCTCTGGCCTTGTAAACCACTGGAGGCAGTCTGTGAGTGAAGGGATTCCTGGTACACGGTCAGAGCTGCTAACTGTGCTGTCAGCCATGTCTGCATTCTGGGGACTGAATGTGGCACAAGAGCCAGGCAAGTCTAAACTGATGTCCCAGCATGGGTCAATGGTGGTGGAGACACTATGGCAGGCTTGACAGGTGACATCAGACTGCAAGCCTCCTGTAAAGATTTGGTCTATGATGCAGTTACAGCAGTTGGGGTTACTAGATTCCTGCCCAACGCTATCATCTTTGCTGTGCCTATGCAGCACATCTAATATTGCAATAAGGAACTCGTGGGCATCCTGCTGCCTATAGCCTGCTAGATGCTCTGCGTGAATCCATATCAGGTGCAGTAACTTATAGGGAATGTGGGGAGTTCTACTGCCAGAGTACATAGCATGAAACAGCGAAGACATTTCACAGACCAAACACAAGCTGGGGCTTGTCATTATACATTTGTGCTTATTCGAGAGAAAAAAATCTTTCAGTAGAGGAATATGGGTAAGTGCTTGGATAATACAATTCATAAAGCAGGTGTTTCCAAGATTGATTAGCCCTCTCAACCCGACAGTATAAACTGACTTTCTTCTCCTCTTTTTCTTGGGTTTTACCAGTTTGGAGTCCTGTTGCTTTGACTGACAGGTTAACTGCTTCTCTTCAAGCCCTGATGTCATAAACTGTTGATGAGAACTATCGGTTGAGGTGGAACTTAGTAATTTCAAAACTTTGTCTTTCGTTTCTTTGGCAATCTGTTCTATGTCTCTGTCATACACATAATCCTTACACATAAAGCAGTATATAACTCCATAATGAAGGTCTACGGCTAAATTGTGCTGTTTCGTTTCTGCATGTTTATGAATGTGTTTCTCAGTAAAGCAGCCGAAAAAGGCACAAGAGAGACAAGAGTGTAGTCTGTTCATATGAGTACTACATACGTGACAGATGCACGACTTTGCCTTACGTTTCCTAGTTTCTGGTGTCCCACTCCAAACGAAACGCTGGTAGATCAGGCGCAGGTTCTTCTGCCAGTTCTTGGCTGCTTTATAACTCTCCACATGACAGCAGCCTGTGGGACCCTGATCCAATTCGACCTCCAGCAACCAATCCCCCAAGCCACCTCGCTCCCTACAACCCGCCATGTCAACAGAGCAGCTTTTCCGCGTCTGGGGTCGGGGTACAGGTCGGGCTCTGAGCCTGGAGCCACGCCAAGCCCGGGACCGCGGTGGAGGCGGGGCTGGGGACGGCTGCAGGGGCCCGGGTGCAGGCGGGGGTGGGGCCGGGAGCCCCGCTAGGCCTCGGGAGCGGACCCGGGGCGGGGGCCGGGGGCGGGGCTTGCGGCGTGGACCAGCGAGCGAGGAGGTGCTGTAACGGTAAGGGTGGGTTGAAGGGAGCACCTTCTCCTCGCCGCCTGGGCAGCTCCACGTGAAGTTCTCCTTAGCTGCGGGCACGTGTTCCCCCAGTGTGTCCAGCTTCATGTCCTCTGCTCCCCGGCCGCCGCACGCGTCCCCGGGGTCCACGGCCGCCGTCTCCTCCTCCTCCTCCATTTTCCCCGCCTTCTCCACCGCCTCCTCGGACGAGGCTCCTCCTCCCTCTCCCGAGCTCCCGGGAGGCACGGAGCCGGACAACAAGGAAGCTTCTGGAACCTGAGCCATCAAGTCGCTGTCCGGCCTGGGGAGAAATAAGTCTGCCAACGAGCTTCCACCTGTAGATGCAATGAGACAGGAACTTCTGTGAAAGATGTGCCTAGCGTTATGGCCGCGGCGCGCCGTTAGCGCCCCGGGACCCCTCCCACCGGCACCCGAGCCCCGACAGTCGCTGCTGCGGGCTCCACCCCCTCCAGTGAGAGGCTCCGGGAGGTGGTGGTGGAGACCCAGGCGGTTACCTGGTTAAGGGCGATCAGATCGTGCGTGGGCGGGAGGTGCGTAGGTAAGGGAGGAAAGGCAGCGGGGGCGGCGTGGGGGAGGGGGCGGTCTAGGCTTTAGGCTGGAAACGATGGAAACTTCTTAAAAAAAAACAAGGCGCCACCCTGTGCCTTTTCTGCGCCCTGCGCAGCCTCGCTCTGATACAGCTTCCTCTGACGTTCTTTCGCTCTAGCCTAAAAAACAAAAACGACAAAAAAAAAAAAAGAAAAGAAAAAAGAAACTTGGCTCAACATTTTATCTTAAATATGGCTGAAAGGGAAGCCACCTTTGAAAAAATGGGCTTAGAGGAAGAAAGTGTCCCCCAGTCCTACTTTACCTATGCTCCGCGAATCCGGCGTGTTCCACCCCTCTGCCGCTACCCCCAGCGCACTTTCAGTTCGCCAGGCTCTTGCGCCCTCTCATGCTCTTTCGCGCCTCTGCTCTCACACCCCTTTTCTTGCTCCTGCGCCCTATTTCCTAGGGTTTCTCCTAGAATCCGAGCTGCTTCTCACTCTGTCCACACATCGCCACCCCCGTGGCCGGCTCCATCCGCAGTATGCAACGCCCGAAGCCCCCAAACTCTCTCCCCATCCGTACCCCGCAAACTCCCCCAGCTCCGCTGTTTGTATAAAGGTCTGCCTTACCTTGGGCCCGGACGCGTGATGGGGAACGTCAGCAGCTGCTGCTGTCCTGGCGCTCGTCAGGCAGCCTTCTCTCCTGACCTCTCCTCAGGGCTGGTCACAAGGGGGCCGCCCCCTGGCCCCTCCCCTGACGACGTGCGGCCCCCAGCCCCGGATTCGGCCCTCCTGCACTGATGAATGACACCGCTGTCCTGCTCAGGCAGACGGACCTCTTACTGAAAAGGACTACAGCAGGCAACAAGAGCTACAGATTCGAGAGAAAGCCCCTGAAATGGAAGCTTGGGCCTCACCTGGCTCCAGGCCGGCTGTCTACAGGAAAAAAAAAAAAAAAGCATGCGGTGGCGGGGAGGGGCCGGGCTTGCAACTGTAGCAATATCCTGGCGCACGTCCTACAAAGACCCTTCAGTTGCTGGTCCTGGGAGTAAAGTGGACGGAGGATGTCATCCTGGGCAACGGGGAAGATGAGGCATAAGCAAGGGGTTCAGACTCAGGTAGTACTGGTCCCCGCCCCCTATTGCCTGCAAAACACATCTCTCCTATGTTCTATCATTGTTCCACCAGAGTAAAATAATAATGCTAACCTGTTACTAACATGAAAGGATGTATACCTCAAGTGTTACACCCCCACCTCAATCCGCACCTCAAAATCCCCCCATGGCACAAAGCGTGATGCATGGAGCCTAATGAAAAACAACGCCCTTTGGCCCTCTCAAGGCTCTCTCATGTTTCCTCAGTTCACCCGTTAGTCCCAAGCCAGGCATTCCTATGAGCATACATTCAGCAAATAGGTTATGCTTTAAACACACATTAAACAAATGCACATCACGTGATGAATTAAACTACTGTACTGAGGTCCACCCTGTGAAACATGGAGTACAGGCCCTCAGGTCCTCCAGGAGCGCAGACCCAGGGGAATCGCCCTGCTTTTGAGAGAAGCGGAATACCAAGCCGCCCTCTCCAGGACTTGCTGCTCTCCTGGGCAGTGCCAACCTATCAGTGTTTAGCAGTGAAGAAATCTACGTTTAATCACACATTTAGTCTCTCCAGAGTCACAGATGGCCCGAGGAGAACCCCAAATCAGGGTACTAGCCTGTCACGCTCAGAAATATCAGACGGTAGAATCATTCCCACGACGGGTGTTAGTGATTTTAGTGTGATGAATAAATCCATCTGTGTCCGAACGTCCTGGCTGAGCACAACAACATGAGCCTGAGGAAGACAATCACCGTCTTTTGCTGATTCCACAGAGTGGCCGGAGTGGGAGAGACTCCAAGGAATTTGTGAGCACAAACGATCTCCTGGGAAGTCAAGAGAGGGTGTTCTCCTAATTCATTATTAGCTATGTTTGTAACTTTGAAAAAGCTACATGTCATCTTAGAGACTCAGTTTGTGTTGGTTAGAAAATATCCGGCTTGATGAATGAGGAATCCTTGCATGAAAATCACAGAAGTTAGCAGGAATTGTAATGTGGTTCCAGATTCCAGACACTTGGCTTATGTTTTATTCTGTTGGTATGGATATAAATGTGAGCCTGAAAAATGTACAAAAATGACAAAAGGTGTTTGTCACAGTCCTGGAGGAGTTCCAAGACAAAGTGCTGACAGGCGGCCTGTGTGCTGCAGGCTGCTGCGGGCTGCTGCGGGCCACTGCCTGCCTCCCAGATGACGCACTCCGCACTGCTCGCCCCAGCCCTGATCCCTTGGCCTCAGAGGCACGGAGGGAGCCAAGCCAAAGGGAATGCCAGTAGTTCTCTAGCGCTTTTTGCAAACCACTGCTAGTTTCAAGACGTCACACCTCTACCGTCCAAAGGCTATGCCTTATGCTGTTGCCCAGGGGGATAAGGGGCGGAGGAAGAATTTGGGAGGACACAGTGAGACCAGAGAAGCCCCCAGGTGAGCTAGGGGCTGTGTGGCGACTCTGTCCTCCGGTCTGCCAGTCATGACTGCCCATCAGGAGGGAAAGAGAACACTGCTTTCAGACTAAGATTTTACATTCCTGAGCGGGGAGGAAAAAACAACAACAACAACAACAACCCTGAAATCCTCAAGACCATCTGAAATTGAGGCGACTTTTACTGGCACATTAGAAGTCATTCTCTACAGCTTTCAAGGCAGTTTATTTACTTATTTATTTTTATTGGAAAGGCACATATATATAGAGGAGGAGAGACAGAGAGGAAGATCTTCCATCAGATGATTCACTCCCCAAGTGGCTGCAACGGCTGGAACTGAGCCAATCTGAAGCCAGGAGCCTCTTCCGGGTCTCCCACACAGGTGCAGGGTCCCAAGGCTTTGGGCCGTCCTCGACTGCATTCCCAGGCCACAAGCGGGGAGCTGGGTGGGAAGCGGGGCTGCCAGGATTAGAACTGGTGACGATATGGGATCCCGGGCATGTAAGGCAAGGACTTTAGCCACTAGGCTATTGCACCAGGCCCAAGGCAGTTAATTAAAAGAAAAAGAGGAGGACATGGCGTGGTAGCCTAATGACTAAAGTCCTCATCTTACATGTGCTGGCATTCCATATGGGTGCCAGTTTGTGTTCTGGCTGCTCACTTCCCATCCAGCTCCCTGCTTGTGGCCTGAGAAATCAGTCGAGAATGGCTCAAAGTATTGGAACCCTGCACCTGTGTGCGAGATCTGGAAGAAACTCCTGGCTCCTGGCTTCAGATCGGCTCAGCTCCAGCCACTGCAGCCACCTGGGGAGTGAACCAGCAGACAGGTCTTTTTCTCTGCCTCTCCTCTTTGTGAACCTAACTTTCCAATATCAACAAATAAATCTTAAAAAAAAGAGGAGAAAGGATGACCAACACCTTAGAAAGCAGATCATTGTATACATGAGGGGTTTCACTCAACGTGTCTAAGGAGAAGGAATACATATATAAAGCTGCAACAAGGTGAGGGCAAGCAGACATGGGCTCACTACAGTCTCTGAAGACATTTCAGAGAGGCAGGGGAAGATAAGAACTGGTATCCTGCTGCCAGCAGTGAGTGACAAAAAGAATGTGAGCATCCTTGGTGGCCTAAGGGATTGTCCCACTGGCCTTCATGTGTTCCTTCTGAGTTACTCTATGCCTTATTTTTGTACTTCCTTCGAATGACCCTGAAGAGAGATAATTAGAGCTCAGTGAAGCTGGAAGTCACGATGGACCCTTGGCCACGTGAAATTCCACCTTCTTAAATTCCCAGGATTACTCTTCCCATTGCATCACCCTTGCAACAGTGCAGGGCCCCAGCAGGGACTAGGAGGAAGTCAGGATGCCACATGGACACCAAGGTCCATGATCAACTGATCTGTAGATATTTCCCAGGCCTGGACAATTCCAGTACTCTGCCCATCCGCTCCACTTCCCCACCACAAATTCCCTCCTTAGTTGCAGCTCCAGTGTTGCCACCAGCAACAGCCTTCTAAAATCCCCCATATAAGGATGATATGGCCTACCAGGCCAGAAGCAGAACTCTGCAGGCACAACTCCTCCTTTGAAGCAAGGGTCTTTCAGATTGTACTTGAGTTCTAGTTCCTCACACCTTATTAACATTTGGCTTTGTTCAGCAGAGAGAGGCCTGTAGGAGAGGGTGTCCTCGTGGAGAGCAGCTGCAAATGGAATGGAAGCATCCGTCACACAGAAGTAGCTGGAGGGAATATACTTCAGAGTTGCCGATAAATTTAACCAGGAAATGTGTGTTTTCTCCTCTAGGCAGGAGAGTATGCTGAGCCACTGCAAAATATATATTGCATTTCAAGGGCAAACTGAACTAGAAGAAAAGGATAACTCAGTCTTGTAGGTAGTTAGATACCCTGTAGCTGGCTCAAGTCTTCCAAGAGAGAGACTTACATTTGGTGCTAGCAGGAAGGCAACACATTTTTGATTGCATGTACCCATTATTTGCTTTACCACAAACATACAAACATATTCAGGAAAGTATTAATATATTAGAATTAAATTAAAACAAATCTCTTGCTTCTTCCTTTCCTTCTCTCTCTCCCCCTTTCCATCCTTCCATTATCCAACAGACCTACAGTCCTTCTTTCCTTCCTTCCTTCTTCCTTTCCCCATCTTCTAAATATCTTTCTATCAGTCAGTCTGCCAGGTGTTGAGCACAATCTGGAGAATTCCAGCCCTCCTGGTTTTATTTATTCAGCAGAAACATAAAGAGAACCC